CAAACTACATGCTGAGTGTAATGCAGAATTCTGACACCCAGAGGCTTAAGATAATCAATTACAATAATCAAACGTAAGCCTTTTCTAAAGGGGTATTTAGGAAAACTTGCAGGGTGTATTTTCCCTGCCCAGTGAAGTTATGTCTTGATTTTCAGATTTAAGAGTTAATTTATTGGAAGAGTAAGAGGGAAGAAAAATCAGGGACTGGGGAACTCTTCAATACTATTACTAGAGAGCTTGGGGGGTACTTAATCCCCATCCTGCACTTCTGCCATCAGCTAAACATTGTTCCCCATTATGCACACAAGGAGAAGTGCAAAGCTGACCCAGTAGATTGAGATGAAAAGATTAGAAGCAGAAATTAAAGTCTCCTGGAGAGATTGTTCAGCTATTATATACTGATAAATTTTTTATGGATTTCCCCATGTTTTAAAAAAAATCATATTAATCTGAACTTGGAGTTTTAAAAACATGCCTCTGATTGTCAGTATTTCCCTCTGACTGCCAACTAGGTGCACTATGGAAGATAGACTCTTTCTTAGCTTAGCTGAAGAGGAAAGATATAAGCATAAAAAGATTATTCTAGTATTCAAACTATTTGCCCAAGATACTTTTAGAGTATCTGTTCTGTCCTTCATTTGGACCTGAAGAGGAATTGTGATCTCAGGACATAAATGAGTGGTATCCTAAGATCATAAAATAGGTGGTACTGGGTGAGACCAAATGTCCATCTAACCAAGTACTGACTCGATCAGTAGCCAGAAGCGAGTGCCTAGAGAAGAACAGAACAGGCACACAGGAACACTCCTCCCAGGTACTCGTCCAGCTCCCACCAACTCGAGTCTCGAAGACTACCTGAGTCAGATAAGGTTCATGTGTGGATTAACCTCCGTGGATTTCTCTTTTGGGAACTTGTTCAAGGTTCCCTTGAAATAAAGATCTTCTTTTCCAGCTGTCATATCTGTTACCTGCCTTAATTTCTTGTCCTGGCAAAGACTGCACGAACCATGTGTAGGGACCCTCTTTATGATGCTTTAGACTAGATACCTTTATCGTATCTCCCAACAGTCTCCTTTTCTAGGCATACAAAGAGCCTGCTTTGCTTAGTGTCTTTTAAATGGAAATTTCTCTGTTCCTGTGATCATCCTTGTTGCCCTTTTGTGAAGATTTTGAAAAGGTAGAGGCAGGCAGCATGCAAGATGTGAGCGCACCACGTATTTATACATTGGTGTAAGTATTCTGTACTTATCTTCCATCCTTTTCTTATTTATTCCTAACACTCACTGAACATCACTAACCACCAAGCAGATTCTTTCATGGACCTGCCTTTTATAATCCCCAAATCTCATTCCTTGATGGTAAGACAATAATTTTACTTGAGAAGTTTTGATTATTCCCAGATGCATCACTTTAACTCTTATCTCAATTTCATGGCATATTTAAGGACTACTCACTGAGTTTCATAAGATCTTCCAGCCAGTCCTCCTAGGTGTCCTCATCTTTATTGTCCTGAAAAACCTGGTATCACCAACAGACTGTCACCTCACTAGTTGCTCTCTTTCTACTTTCCTCATGAATCAAAGAAGCAAGTTTCTACATCTCTAGGTATAGCCTCCTCTTTCAAACTGAGATCCCAAGATTTCTTTCTCCACAGTGCTGCCTCCTTCATTTCTTCTTGAGAACTCCTAGCTAGGGAGACAATAGCCATTTTTGAATCTTTATGTCTTTTAACAACACCCAAGTATTTTTGGCTCTGATGGATGCAACACACAAAACAATAAGGTTTTCAAATCACCTCTGTTAGAAGGATGCCAGGCAGAACTCTCCAGGTTTTTTTTGGCATTGCACACACAGTGCAGTGCTGAGAAACTAATTCTCTTTTCGGTTCAACATCCGAGGTCAGTCACAAACACAGCTTTGAAAGAAGGCTACATTTGAATCCACTCTTCTTGTCAGATGAATAACAACAGTAAAGTGATGCATCTTTAACAAAACCCCCTAATAAAGGTTTTAAAGCATGGTGATCATGGGAATTAGCTTGGGAGAACATGCAAAGTGAGGATCTAACTTAATCTAATTAGGGCTTTAACACACAGAAGTTAACACTGCTGGCAGAAATAGTTGACAAATTAAATATTCTTCCAAAGAAAGAAAAAGGAAAATTTAAAGTGTTTGGAAAGCTTGGAACTGAAAATTTGTTCATTCTAGCACGGTGTTTCTGAATTTTCCCAAAACAATTTCTTGAAAACTTTCAGCCAAAAAGTAACAGAAATTATTGTTTGGAAGCAGTATTTTAATAATGAGAAATTATTATCCTCTCTGGGATTGTTTTTCCATTTATAAAAAAAGTACAAAGGACAAAATGGAAACATGAAAAACGATGTTCTGCTGAAGTATCTGTGTCTGCCTTTGAGGTGTCTGGCAGAATAGCTGCATGGATTGGAAATGAAATCTCTCCTTAGTCCTCATCAACACATTTATGTTTACAATACACAGAACCTTGCAGAGCCAAGGGTTACTTTATCTTTCCTCTAGTCAGTGCCAATGTAACACAAACCAGCACCACTTTTAGCTATCTCCTCAATTCAGAAACTGGCATGAGAAAATTCCTAATGAATAGGGGCTGGATGACAGCAAGGAATATTATTCTGACTAAGTTTAAGAATTAAACAATTTGGAAAAGGGAAAATCCACAGGACTGAAATAAAAAGACAATTACAAGTACAGATAGAAACAGAAATAACCAACCAGCTGTGCAACTAAGACACAGAGGGTAAATGAAAAATTTAAGAATTATTCTAAGAAGGAATGGAATGGGAGTGAGGGAGAGGCCACCTCTAGAATTCATGTCCTCATAACAATGCCAAGGAATCATAGCAAAAAAATGTCTGCAGGGGACTTTGGGTAGTCACGCCGTTTACTGTTTTTCAGCCTGTGATCAGTGGATTAGCTGAGGGTCCATGCAACATGTAATGTATCAGAAGATGACTTAAAAAAAATTGCAAATCATCTGTATCTTCTTGTAATTTATATTACTTGTGCTAGCCATCTCATCAAAGCTGACTTTTTTTTTTTTTTTACAGTAAAATATTATGTATTGCAGGTATTAGGTACCTCTTCATTTTCAGCCTCATTTGTCAATGCATCACCTCCTTCTGCTGACTAGCAAGCCTATACCTTGGTTTCCTTATTGCTCTGAATGCTCATACAGTGTAGTTTCATGCATCTTGCTGGTCACATCTCATTTTTGTGTCATGATTACTTGAATTCTATCTCTGTAGGCTCATGATAGTCCTTCAGGCTTGTCATTAATAATCTGATTACTGTAAAATTCCTTTTTGAGTCTTTGGTTAAGGCTCATGTGTTAACAAAAGATGTCTCTCAGTACACAGCCTGTCATCCCCTGCTTAGTTTCTGCTTGTGCCTTTGGTATCTGTTCTTCGAGGAACTGCTATCACCATGTCTTTACTAGTAATTTTTCCCTTCTCCTTTATACGAAACCAGTCATTTTATATGAAATGCCAATTGCTCAGATTTGTATGAAGTCCAATGAAATACATTGATCCAATCTCTTATTTCATAGTGCTTGTCACATCCCACTAACAGCCAATGCTCACTTGTTCCATAGCCTACTGTAAGACTTAGGACAGGAGGTTCAATGGCATAAAGGAATTGGGTACTTCGTTCCTATTGAATCTCATCTAAGTGATAATTGAATTGAAAGTCAATGGGAACTGGGAGCACAAAACTCTGTCATGTGTCTAAAAAACTCTTACAGGGTGAGGTTTTCAGCTGTTTTTCCCACCCTGAGGAACAGGAATGAGTAGAAGAGCTGAGGAGGACCTGCCATGCAAAGGAAACACTTCCAGGAGCGGGAAAGCTGGTAAGACCATGGCTGAGGCAATGAGCTTGACCTCTCATTCTCTCCCATATTACAAAGCCTCTGTGATTTTCTACAAGTATATTTACCCAAGTCATTTCCCAAATCAACAGATCCAGCAATCAGTTGCCAGACACATTTAACCACAGAGTAAGGACAAAAGCAGTATGCACAAAGAGCGAAGCTGATGAACGGGAGACCAGCTTGTTGAGTGACTCATTCTCTGAGGAAACAAGCTCCTATGCTTTCGCTGAAGATCCTCAGCATGTCAGGGCTGAGATCTACTACTGGGTGCGTACAAAAGCTGACATGAGCCAATTTGCACCACAGCTACACACTCCTGACCTTTGTGATGATGGTGGGTTTGTTGTCTGGTTGTTTCCCTCCCCTCCCCACCCTCTGCCTGGCAGAGATCTCATAAATTCAGAAAATTGAATAATAGAAAAGGAGAAGCCAGGAACAGATGTTTCCTGATATTATAGTTGTTATTACATATATATATATATATATATATATATATATATAT